TTTAGGTGGATGAAACAAAAAAACTATTCAGTTGTCCCCCAAAAAAACTGCAGGTTTTTTGTATTTTTTTATTGATTATATAGTCACACATTTTTTCAGTGACAACTTGCGACGTGCAGTCTATTGTTTACCATGCAGTTCTGAATATTTGGTCTGAAATCGCATGCAAGTATGACTTTAAAGCCACATGAGCACTATTTAACTGACTGTAAACAGTGTTGTACTGTGATAGTCATCGGCTGCTAATATTATTTTAATGTTTATTTTCACACTTATATTCACAACTCCCTATATTAAACGCACTACCAGTGAAGTTTATTAGTTGCTAAATGTTATAGTTTTTACATTTACTTTTACATCACAATGCTTTGTTGAAAGGATAGTTCACTGCAAATGAAATGTGCTCGATTCAAACCTTTACACACTGTAAAAGTGCTTCCATCATGTTGTCCCAACACAAATCTAACAAGTTAGCTTCATTTTTACAAATTTAAGTGAATTTAAAGCAATAAAGCAGTATTTGTGTAAAATTTGTTTAAAATTAGTTCAGGGACAACTTTGTTCACCACATATCTGTTAATATTGGGTCTGAAATCGCATGCAAGTATGACCTGAAAACAACATTAGCACTATTCATTGACTGTGAACTCAGCTGCTTATATTATTTTGCTATTCAAAATTTACGAAGAATTCTTTTCTGAAAACCAACTTCACTCGAATGTTGATCCTTGTGTTTTTGCATTTTTAAATGTACATGAAAAAGTTTATTAGTTGCTGAATGTTATAGTATTTAGCATTTACTTTTACATAGCAATGCAAGTGATAGCTCGTTTAAAACTGAAAATGCACTTTATTAAATCTTTATACACTGTAAAAAATGCTTCCATCATGTCACAAATCTATTAAGTTAGCTTATTTTTTACAAACATAAAACATAAAACAATTAAGTTTACCCCAAAAAAACTCAAGGTTTTCTAAAGAAGTTTTGTTGAAGTTGGTTGTAAATTTGTTCTGTGACAACTTGTGACACGCTCCATATATAGTTTACCATGCTACTGTTGATTTTTAGTCTGAAACTGCATGCGAGTACGACTTGAAAACAACATTAGCACAATTTAATCAACTGTGAACAGTGTTGTACTGTGATAGTCATTGGCTGCTAGTGCTAATATGAGTTCACTATTCAGGATATGCGAAGAATACTTTCTGAAAACCAACTTTACCTCAGTGTTTATCCTTGTGTTTTTGTCTTTTATATGTACAGTAAATCTTCACTTGAAAAACACTACTGGTGAAGCTTATAACACTGTAAAAAATAAATCTGTAAAATTTACGGTAAAAAAAAACGGTACACAGGGTTAAAAATACGGTACAAACTGTGAAAGTAATTTCTCATTTTTACGGTAAACTACCGTATTTAATTTATTTATAGATGTAATATATCTGTATTTTGAATTACCAACACCTACACATCTTTTGTTACACAGATGAACCAATGCTCATCACAAACAACTTTTCCCACAATCAGAAAAGGGTATCAGTGTATAGAAGGTGCTCAGTGTCATTCACACAGCTGCTAAACACCAGTATGGTAACAAGTTTAAAATTAAAGTCATGAAATAAACATTGTTTAGCAACATTAGATGTAACATAAATCTCTAATGAACATAACTGATGGGGAAACAACTAAAAAGATCCATATTAATGTCAACAAAATGCATAGAAAGTGACGTGCCATGCAGGAAATTCGGGGAAAGTCAGTTTACGGTTATTCGCCGTATATATTAAGGAAACAAACCGTTAACCAGGTTACGGATTTGTACCGTAGCAATTTTACAGTTTTTTACCGTTGATATCCTGGCCATTTTTACTGGTATCACTGTAATAAATGGTTGCGATTTCAACGGTAAAAAACTGTAAAAATGCTACAGTACAAATCCGTAACCTGGTTAACAGTATATTTCCTTAAAATATACAGCGAATAACCGTAAACCAGAGCGCTGTGATGATGATGGTGTAGTGAAACTCTGGAGTAGAGTAGAGTACAGCAGAGGATCAAAGTCTTATTAAAGACACATCAAAGGCTCTGATATCACTGCACTCTATGAAGTGTGTGTGTGTGTGTGTGTGTGTGTGTGTGTGTGTGTGTGTGTGTGTGTGTGTGTGTGTGTGTGTGTGTGTTTTATGAGTGTGTGTCACAAAGTTGTTGTAGTTTTGCATTTTTACATTTAGTTTTAATTTTAGCACCATTCAGTTCAGTTTTTTTGTTGGTGTGTATGTATGTATGTATGTGTGTGTGTGTGTGCATGTGCTTTTGTGTGTATATTTGTTTGTGTGTGTGCAATTGTGTTTGTGTGCATGTGCACATGGGTGTGTGTGTGTGTGTGTGTGTGTGTGTGTGTGTGTGTGTGTGAGAGAGAGAGAGAGAGAGAGAGAGAGTGCGCACATGTATTTGTGTGTGTGTGTGCACGTGTGTTTGTGTGTGTGCATTTATGTGCGTGTTCAATTTGGTGTTGGTGTGCAGTGTGCACAAGTGTGTGTGTTTGTGTGCATGTCTGTTTGTGTTTTTTGTGTGTATGCATGTGTTTGTATTTGTATGTGTGTGTGTCTGTGTGTTAGTGTGCTTGTGCACATGGGTGTGTGTGTGTGTGTGTGTGTGTGTGTGCATGTGCTTTTGTGTGTGCATTTGTGCATATTTGTTTGTGTGTGTGCAATTGTGTTTGTGTGCATGTGCACATGGGTGTGTGTGTGTGTGTGTGTGTGTGTGTGTGTGTGTGTGTGTGAGAGAGAGAGAGAGAGAGAGAGAGA